GCCAGAGGCTCGAACGTATGAAAACTCATGGTGGCTGATGGTTGAGGGAAATCAATTGACTAATCAGAAGCCAATCAGCGGCTACAATGATGGGCAATTAGAAGAAAGGGAAAAGACGCACTAAGTCTGATGGACGCTGATATTCAAAGTGCAAATCAGACATGTGTTGATTCAATAATAAAAGCTCAGTGTGTTTTGATTGCGAGAAGAAACTTTAAAAGCCAAGTATGACAAAGCCCCCATTTCACAACACCTCATTACACATGTGTACCGAATTTAACAGCATGAATGTAACAAAGTCGGATCAGTAGACTCAACACAAGGCATGTCACAACATCATTAATACGGGTAGTATCCCGATTCAGGAGGTTCCCTTTTGAGGTTGTTTTTTTCTTTCGGGGATGCTGCGAGCTGTGTAAGCCTGCTATTTGTGCGCCTTTCATTCCTCTTACCTGGGGGAGAAGCTCGCTCACGCATGTGTCAGTTTGCCGTTATTATTATTTCCATATGCTCTCACTTAAAACGGCTGGCTAATCCTCGGTCACACGCCAGCAGCACGCCCAGGATTATCTGTGTTTGTTTTCTCACGCGGAGGAGAGATTGCGTTAATCTCCTCAGAGGGGAAAGAAAGCAGAGAGAAAGCGGAAAAGAGAGACCAATGTCTTGCTCGTAAATTGAAAAAAAAACAAGGAAGACATGGGACATCTGAGAGTGAAATAAGACAAGAGACAAGTGACAGAGGGAAGGGCGGCAGAGGAAGAACAAAGTCAAAAGGGAGATTTAAAGTGTCTTTGTTCCGTCAACTCTGCCGTGGTGCTTGTTGGCAGAGATGTCCAAAGCGGCGTCTGTCATCAGACAAATGTGATGTGTGATCTTGATTTAGAATGCAAAAAATCTAGAAAGAACTCAAGCTGTCAAGGGCGGCAGGGTGCTGAGCACACACACAGATCTGTGGCACACACACTTAAGTGAGAACAATGTGCAATGCAGCTCATTTTACATCATTTATTAAAAGTCAGGCAGCGACCTCTGTGATTTGAAGTCTCCCCCTGCAGTAATGTACGTTTACTGTAATGCACGCATACATTCACACGCACACACACTTTTTCAATAGAGCGTGCATGCCTATGGGTCGTCCTCGCTGAGAAGAGAGAGATGTATTATGTATCTCCAGTCTACCATGCCGGTTAGCTAATTAATTTCTGCTAACTGTGAGGAGAATTTAAAAGGGAAATTGTATGGAGAAATTTGAATTTCAAAAAGGACTCTAGGAGCATTGCAGGACAGGAGAAGGTTATACTTGGAGAGCGTGTGGGTGGCAACATTAACAAAAGATAAGAGGGTTTGTTACTCCTCTATGTGCAAGGCTTGCTTGATCAGGGATAATACCAATTGGAGAAGAAAATGCCTATCACAATAGCACAACATCAAGTCTGTTAAACAGCAAGGTGTTGAATATATAATGATATGCAGGAAATGTTCAGATAAGGAGGCTGTATCTAGTGATGTTTTGGCCTTTGACACATACAGCATATTTAGCATTTAAAAATAGGTAAAAGACAGGTGAGGAGACGTCACTATAAGAGTTTGTTTAAATAGTAACTCTTTGTAACATTGCAGAGTTATTACACCATCTCTCCTGGTCCTGTTTTACAGAGCTGTCAGCACTTTGGACACTGTGGAGTATTAATGATTGACAACTGAAACTGCAGAATAGCGGTAGACTACAGTAGTAGAACTACTGCCTCTACGTCAAGTGAACTAGTTTTGACCGGGGGTGGGGTTGTATCAGGACTGAGGTCACTGTCCAACTATCAATTTAAGCTGGTGACAAAGACCCTGCTAAAACGTGAGCCATCACTGGATTGTATAGAATATATTGGAGTAAAAGTACAACATGTACCTCTGATTTGTAGTGAAGTAGAAGTACAAAGAAGCCAACATTATAAATACTCAAGTAAAGTACAACAGATGTGGAAGAAGTACTCAGATCTTGTACTTTAGTCAAAGTAGAAGTACCAGAGTGTCGGAATACTCTGTTACAAGTAAAAGTCCTGCATTCAAAATGTTACTAAAGTAAAAGAGTATTAGCATCAAAATATACTTAAAGTACCAAAAATAAAAGTACTCATTATGCAGATTGGTCCATTTCAGAATAATATGTATTATATGTTTTGATTATAATTATTGATGCATTAAAGTGTTGCAGCTAGTTTGAATGACTTTGTATACTGCAGGGTAGCTTGTGAATTTACTCCAGGTGTAACTAAAGTCTGATTTAAGTGTTGATTATATTAATACAAATCTGCAAAGTAACTAAAGTAGTTAATACATGTAGGTAAATAAATGTAGTGTAGTAAAACTACAAGATTTACCTCTGAATTGTATTAGGGTAGAAGTACTAAGTAGCATAACATGTAAATACTCAAGTAAAGTAAAAGTATCTTAAAATTGAGTAACTTAGTTACTGCTATGGTATTATTAACATTATATCAATATGTCCTTTTAAATACAGCAACACTTACACATCCCTAGTGTCCACTGTTGCATTTCTTGACAGCCAGATGTATGATCTAGGCTCTACAATGGCTGGAAATGGATGGAACTCATCAGTAAGACAGCGGGAGAGGAGAAACGATATGTCAGTGATCAGAGGGTAATGAGGGGGATGGTGCATGTCAGGATTCAAACACATTTGTGCAAAGGTCCTGTTCGAGCTAAAACGAGGTGTTAAGTTGCTCTTTAAGGTGTTCGTGTGCAAGTTCCAGCAGAGCACTGTGGGTGAAAACATTGGTGCGGAACGTTCACATCTGTTCACAGACGTGTAGCAGACAGAACAAAACATAAAAACAACAGTGGAGTCGCTGTGTGATAAGTGCTTCCTGTACGAGCCAATGAGCGGGTTTGTCAGAACTGGTCCCAACCGCACACACACAAGGGGGGAAAAGATGGGTGGGGGTTTGGTGATGGAGTGTGTGAGGTGGCGAAGGAGGGGGGGGACTGCTGTGATGGAGTGCTGGATGAGGGGAGGGAGGGGGGGGGGTGATGAGTGTGTGCTCACAGTGTAAGTGACACCTCTCCTCCTCAGACAGATTGTCTCTCTCTCCCTGTAATGGGGTCTCCGTTAGAGATCCCTTTCCCTCCGCCTACTCAACCTAAACCCCTCGTGAACACACACGCTCTCTCATCCCCCAGGACAATTCCTCTTGTTTATTTATCTTTTCTGCAGAGATATGGTCCAAATTGCCCACATTTCGATGTCATTTAACTCGCCCTTTTTCTCTGCGTAATCTTTAATCAATCTCCACCACTTTCTGAAACCGCTGATTTTCTGTAACGGTGTTTACGGCTCGGAATAAGAAAATAAATGGAAAAATAAAGATCAGAAAGGAAGTAGAGCGCTCGGGTGAAAGGATATATCAATATTCCCACTGCTGTTGGAATCCTCAGAATGATTATCCCATGTTTGAATCTGACAGAGAATATTCAGCATAGCCAGGGAGCCTATTTCTCCTCTGTCCAACATGGTGCTGTGTGCCAATCACACTGAGAGGATTCATACTGTATGCACACTTACTTAAGGACACACACACACTGAGGGAGGATTTCAGGACACCCGGGCTCAAAACAACCACTTGTACTTGCACACAAGCCCACACACCGACACTTCAAACAGGTATTTCTGACCCAGACCGAAACATGTTGCAAAATATAATCAACAGCAGGTGTATTTCAGGGTGTGTGAGACAGCATGAGATTACCCGAGTGTACCTCTGCCTTAGTATCATCTCAGCAAACCTGATCAGAGGCAATCTATTCGCTTCAGAGGAGTCCCGCTGGTGGGAGTGCGGGGGGGCAATCACACGGACACCTCAGACAAATAGGCTTCATAACTTCTCTGTAACTAACAATCTCTGGGGCCTGAGCCTTAATCCCAAATGAAATCTCTTATACCTGTGAAGATGCTGGGGTACAATGGAATTTTTAACGCTTCCCAGGTACATGTCCCTATTGCTATCGTTGTGTTGCCATGGAGATTGAGACGATGTTTTAAACAAGGGTGTTCTTTATGCAGTGAATGGTTCTGTTTTCAATTTCTAAGTAGGAAAGGATATTGCTTATGGCAACTATGTATCGACAATGCCTGAACCACTTCTGAAAGTAAATTCAAAAATCCATTCTGTATGTTCACAAAAGCAAGTTTTACTCCCACATGAGGTCTGAAAGAACTCCTACCAACATGTTTGTAACATAGAACAAACTACTCATTACCTGCCAGGTATCCACCAACGCAATTTCAAGAGTGTTGCCAACACCACACAATGCTCAATGTAAATATCCCAAACACCCCATGCTTCCATCCATCTGTGCTGTTTGTAGATAGCACTAATCTCACACTGCTCCTCGGAATACAGCCTCTTCCTTCAACACCCTGACAATGAAGCCCAAAGCTATATATCATTTAGTCTTAGCATGTCAAGAAGATCCCGACATCAACAGCAATATCAAACCCATATCCAAACATATAGTTACTTTATTGTCGTGGCTCTCAAGAAGCCTCTCAACTCTTTGAGCATCGGGAATCTCATTTGCAATGCTGTAACATCAACGCCTCATGAATGTCTCTCCTACTTCACACAGACCAAACATCTAAGCATCCACCCACATCAGCCTTCAAAGTAACACTTCAAAATTCAAAATGCTAGGTAGCCATGGTATTATTTACTCCAAATCATTTTTGGATGTTACCATTTTCTGGCCTCCGTAGCTGTTATCTGTTGGGATAATTCATTATTTTCCATCTCTCTGCTTTTGAAGTCTTCTGTAGAACATTTTGTGTGAAACTTTGAACCAAAAACGGGTAATTTGCATTATTTGCCACCAAAAAGTGTCAACAATTTCCTATTTCACAATGCCCTTCCAAACCTTAGACAAGGAGATGCTTCCATATTAAAATGTTTCAACCCATCGAACTAACTCTTATCCATTTTTCTCCCCAGCCTGTTGACTATGAGAGCCGGAGCTCCTACTCCTTCTCTGTGGAGGTTCTCAACCCCATAGTGGATCCTCGATTCTTGCGTCGAGGCCCCTTCAAGGACCGGGCCTCCATCAGAGTAGCAGTGCTCGATGCAGACGAGCCTCCGAGGTTCTCCAGAGCCAGATACCATATGGATGTTTCTGAAAACTGCCCGCCAGCCTGCACTGTGGGCCGGGTCAGCGCTGTAGACCCGGATACTGGTCTTACCAATAATATCAGGTACAGTAATAGCCATCTGTCCTCATATATTGTATAAAACTTCAGAACAACTTTTGTTTATGCTTGTTTTTAATATGTTTGTTAGCTTTCTTGCTATGGGTTAGCTAGCCAACTAGCTTAGCTCTTTTTGTACATGTTAAAACAACTTGAAAATGAATGAGCTTTAGAGGTGCTGGTTTATTTTGTTACCTTTATTTGTTGCCTTTTTTGTTACTGTTTTTCCTTTATTTTCCTGAGAGTAGTCAGCCCGTCTCTGTCCATTTCCCTCAGTTTACAACCTTTGTGCAAAGCTAAGCTAACCAGCTATTGGCTGTAGCTTCATTGAGCGTATCTCATCTAACTCTCAGGGGAAAAAAGGAAAAAGCACAGATCCCAAAGCACTCCTTTGAGTATACAAATATTAAATTCCATTTTTATCCACAACAAAGCTGCTGATTGAAAAACCAAAGACAAGTTGGTGCTAAGAGTTTCATTTTTTCCCGTTTATTTAATGTTTTTGAGGAGAGGATTTGTTTGAAGCGAGGGATTTAGAGTTGTTTGATTGAATTCAAACTTTGCTTTTCAACTAAAAGAAACAAAACACAACAGTAACAGCTCACCAAATAAATACAACCAAATGCTTACTCACTGTTCCCTTGATCTGACAGTAGCCATATACGTTTTTGAAGTCCTATCCTCTCTCTTCTGTTTGCAGTAGGTTTAGTCTGGGAGGGCGAGTGATTTGCCTGTAAAGCTGTGTCCCAATTAGCACGGGCAAAAGTGCTGAGAGTGAGCGTGTGGGGAGGAATGACAGTTGGTATATTCATAGAGATATTTAGATAATCGGTGGCACTTCAAAAGAGCTCCTATCAGATGCGATAATCTCCATATTAATTCTTTGGCCATTTGAAAGCAGACTTCCTTATCGCTCCCTCACACACTTGCCCTGTGTGCTTCTTTCCCTCTGCACCCCACTGCCATCTCGGCTTTCTTCTTTCCGTCACTTCTTCTTTCTATACATCTCTCTGCCCCTTCATCATTTAACTTTTTCTCAACACAACTATCTTTCTCCTCCCACCCTACTTTCTCTTCTTCAGGTTCTCTATTGATCCTCAGTCGGACCCAGAGGCTCTGTTTCGTATCACCCCAGACACCGGCCTCATCACCACCGCCATGGAGCTGGACCGCGAACGCGACCATTGGCACAACATTACTGTCATCGCTACGCAAAGAGGTCAGAGGTCGCTCTCACTTGACGCTAAGATATCCTTAGAGCTTGTCAATTGGATTGTTACTGTTATTTGGAGCTAAAACTCTTCAATGAAACCTACATTTTTCTACCACTGACACCGGCACTCACTGATGAGCATAAGGGTTTAAGAGATTTGAGGAAGTGTAAATTGTACGGAAACTGAAAAGCACAGTATCTACTGTGAGATGAAGTCCACTAAGCGGCTTAGCACTGGAATCATCAAGCCATGAGGGGAATGCTGTTTGGCGCCACAAGTAGTTTGTTACAGCTTGCCTGAGGATCAATGGATCTATACTGTGTGATATCGAATGCTGCGATAGATCTCTTCTCATAAGGATTCAACTGGAAACAAAGAATTAAAGCGACAAATCGATCGCAACCAGTGCTTTACAGAGAACAGTAAACACCTTTCAGATAAAAGGCAAGGCCTTTCTACAAACCCTGAGGCCCTCCAACGGTTATGTTTCAATCAGTAAAGACACAACAAATGAACAAAGGGGGACAGATTAAAGGACATTCACATGGTCTATTTAGTAGATACTCTCAAGCTTTCAATCATGATCACGGTTAAGTTGTTTTGTCAACTGCTGTTTCCAAGGTCAAGACTTTGAAACAAAGATATTCTGTGTGTTAATAAACAAACACGTTTTGGTATTGGTCCTGTTAAGTACATCAATTCAAAATGGTAAAAACCCTGGAAGCCATTTGAAGATCCCCTGGGGACATTTAGTTGTTGCCTTGACAGTAGGGAAAAGGAAGAGTGACTGACAGCATGAGAAACAAAACACCTAATGTGTTTTGTTTAAAACAAGATGGATGGCAATTTTGTATATATTTGTTGTTGTCAACAAATGCAAAGAAGAGCTAAACTAACCTCTCTAAATGCTTTTCGATTTCCATAATGTGGCCCATTGTTTCCCTAAAAGGTCATGAATATATAGTTTCCTTCTTTTAAATGGCTGAATAATCTTATTTAACAGCTGGGAGTTATATAGCTTCTGGTAAACCTCACTCGAACAAGAGAAATAGTGCATTTGTTGGGAAGTGTTTTCAGCCACGGAATAACTCCAGTGAGTATTAATAGAATATTCTTCCACATGTTACAAACCCTATGAAAACACCAATGTTACCAATAACACCAGATGTTTTACAGGAAAACATATGACAATTACGTTCAAACTAATTGTATTTTAACGCCGGATGACTGTGTGATTGGCCCCTCCGGTCGAGTGTTCTCTGCAGGGCGGGATGTTTCCCAACAACGATTGGACAGAACCATTGGCAGATCGCCTTGTTAACATTATCAGGTTCCTTAATAACACTGGGTTTAAATGCGTGATACTTTTACACCTTAATATCAGCCATTGTGTTGTTGGTCCACTCTCTGTTTCGTTATTCGAGCAATATGAGTCTTGCTCCTCTGTTCTGCTCTGCTCTCTTAAGGTATTTTTATTTGATGAACCTGGGCTCCTAGTAGAAAATGAACCAAATAGGTTTTATTTCTTTAAAAAAAAGGAAATCGACGGCCGTGGTGATTGGCAAGTAATGGATTCCTGGTATGCCTGAACGCCCAGTAACACCGGTAACACCTGCTAACTAGCTGCAAACCTAATAGTGGACTGACTCAAAATAGACTTCAAGATCAATGTTCCCGATATGGACATAAAACACATCAACTAATCAAAAAGGATGGCCATTTTAGAAAACAATGAATCTCTATGGTACAAAAAAGACAATATATTAGACTTTGAATATACTGAGAATACTTGTTATGATGATCAATTGGATTTTGGTGTTTTGATTGGATTTGTTGACACCATCAAAATATAGCACATCAGAAGATCAACTGGGATTATCATTGGTTGGCAATGCTACTTGTTCAGGTTCTGTCAACTCCTATTTGTGTCAGATTTTGTACCAATAACCAAATCTGAGGTTTTTGTGCAGAAGCCGATGGTGTTGGATGATTAGAAAACACTCAGATGCTTACAAGAAAGCACTACAAATGACTGCCTTCTTCTGATAAGGGTGCCAGATCACAAAATGCTGATACATGCGGGTCACTTTTGAAGGCATCATCAAACAACCACATTTTTTTGTTGTTGTCAGGATGTCTTTTAATTAACACGAGTCTCCTGGCACATTCTAAAAGTCATTCTTGGCAGGTCCCAATCCATTATTAGGGATCCCTGTCTCAGCCCTTTGAAAACTCAATCAAAGTAGTTGGTGTAAAAGTGCGAATATTGATGGAGAATGCTGACCGATGGCTGCTGTGTTCAAGGAGAGGAAGTTGTTTTCCTGCCAAGTCTTGCTCTGGACAGACTTAATCTTTACTTAAATCTACTCAGGGCTCCTCGTGGCGGCGGTGTCGGTAGGACTGGGATGGCAGCACAGCTAGTACCTGTCTTGAATAATGAGCTCGATCTAATAAACAGACAGTTGACATAAACCGCAGTAGGAGTCCTGCCATGGCCACGGGCATGCCAGAGCACCCAGAAGCATTACAGCGAGAGCTCATTTTCAGCTTTTCAGGGGCTGGAAGCAGTCGCTGTCATCTGTGACACAGTGTTACTGCTCTAGGTTTGAGAACATGGTGTGGGAGTGTTTGTGTTTGTGTCTTAATTTAAAGTGTGGCCCAGTGTGTCTCAGGCTCGGCTGCTTAAATAAATGACTGGATGTGGGTGCTTGTGAGCCAGGATCCTGCCTGAGCCCTACACAAGAGCAGCCTAAAATGTAATGGTGAATGTTCAGCTCAGAGTGCGTTTCAAGCGTGGCTGTGAGAACTTCATCTTCAAGTGTGTAGATATCCAAGTGAATTGGGTATGGGACACCCTCTGCCAATCCGTTTAAACTTCGCTCTTGTGTGACTGCATGCAGATTGACTGCTTTCTACATCCCTCCTCGGCTCCCTCTCTCTTTTTTCTTCGAAACACACACTCGACGCTGTGAGATGCTTTGGCTAAGAATGGAACAGTTTGATGTGGAAAAATGTGACTGCTATGGGAGCAGCAGTGGTACTCCAGCTGGGAGCCTGTGAGCTGTAACACAATCCAAATTAAACTAAATGCTCTGCTGCTGTGTATTTCGCCAATTTTGTTCTCGCTAATGTGATACGAGTGCTGTTGAAGTTTCCGGACAAAGACCGGAAAGCTTGATCCCACCTGAGGTCAATTGAATGGATTTAATGGATACAGTACATGGCACCTCTGTGGTAAAACACTACTGATTGTTGCATTGGGGAATTGTATTCATACATTTATTTCCAAACACAGTTTTCTGCTGGCATCTTCGAGGGTTGTATTGTAAACTGCCTGTTTCTGATTGGCTCTTTCAGACAATCCCAGCCAGGTGTCAAGAGTTCTGGTTGCAATAGAGACACTGGACCTGAATGACAACGCACCTGAACTTGACCGGCAATACTCAACAGCCATGTGCGACTCGTCCACCATCGGGCAGGTCAGTATGTGTTTAATGTCAATGTGTTTGCCTGCATGTTACAATACAAAGATGTTAAGCCACTACATCTATAAAATAACTCCTGGAACAAGCTTTTGTGTGTCGGAAAATGGGACAATCCCAGTGGAAATTGGTGTGGTATATCCTCCTTTTTCTCCTGCAGGAACTTGACAAAATATAATTGGATGTATATTCGTTGTAACAGGTTCTGTTTTGGTCTTCGCGCTTTTCCAACCACCCTGGGAATAATTCCCAGAGACTATATTTTTACACTCCTGTGGTTATACTAAATGCAGGTTCCGGTTTCTCTTAAGTGGCTGGCAGTGCAGAACATTGTGATTTGTCAAGAAGGTATAAAAGAAGCTAGTTTCAAAACCTTACAAGGTGTTCAAGGTTATGGGAAGTCCCAGGTTGTCAAGTTCTTGTATTGTGAATCAATGAATCTACCACAGTGTCTTTCATAATATATAAAAACATGTTCAAGTCCTGCACATCTGGGTTTGATATCTTTGTTTTTCTGTTAGAGTCAAACGTTGGGGATGTTGGTTCGCTTCTTTCATTCAGGCTGAAATATCTTCACAACTTCTGGATGGGTTGTCACAAAATGGTGTACAAACATTCATAGTCCCCTTAGGATGAACCTTTTGTGATCCCTTAACTTTAATTTAGCGCCATCATTGGATACTTACTCAAATGTACACTCTAATACATGTAAACAGGTGAAAATCCCTTTAGGGAGCTATAGTTTGTCTTTACTGCTAAAATGCTACGCAAAATCCTAGTCCACGTAAACTCAATCTTTTTAAACATTTAGTTTTTCCTTTGTTCTCAAACGTAATAAAAACACACCAAAATGATGATATTAGGGATGCACCCATATAAAAAATGTCTGCCAGTGCTGATGTTTGGAGTAACAATTGTACCGATGCTAATGTTTTACTGTATACTGTAATAGTAGGATAAAGCTGACTAGGCCAGCCTATCCCTTTAAGAGAGAGAGGTGGGGGGATACGTGTGGCGCGTGCATGTATAGAGCAGGCGAGAGAGAAGATGAGCGAGCGTAGAACGTTTCTGGAAGTTAACAGGAGTAGCAGCAGTATAACAAAGTCACAAATATAAAACAACGGCCTCCCAAGAACATAGAATGTTGGATTTCATTTATCGATCCTGCAGACACCCGCTACACGGGAAGTCCTGCAGCATGCCCCCCCCCCCCCTGCAGCAGCTCCTCACAGAGGAGAGGAGAAGAGAGGACACCCCCCCCCCCCCCCCCCCCCCCTCTGAATGACTTTAAAGTTACAGCAGACCCACAATCATAGATTTAAAAACAACGACGCTAGCACGACTTTGTGGCAACTCACAATGAACATAACCACGTACAGTTTAATGTCACAAGCCAAAAACACTCATAAACAAAGTTTCCGAACATGAAGGAGTTTTACAAAAGAAGGCCCTAAAACCCAGTTTGCTTGTGGCTTGAAAGGCCAAAATGCTTAGAAAACCGCTATCAAAATACCCGTGTTTGTGTGGACGAGGCATAAGAAGGTGAATCTGGTAAACATATTCCTGCTAATTCTAAATGAAAACAACATGGCCGATGTGTAAACTTACACAGTCATGCCTCCTAAAGAGAAACATACAGTACTTCAAATCTGTTTCCATTCAAAAACGGAAGCTCCATCTTCATGCCTATTCATGCATAGAAGCACATACACTTTAGCTGTACCAAGCTGTATCTGTTCAGATATGGCAGCATGCAGCTACATTCACCATCAAGACAAGTGAACCCTCCCTGGCCTCTTATCGGAACGGAGCAGCTATTCACATTGCAATTAATCCCGCTCAGACTGTCTCCATCCGTTTTGTTTTATTTGTGTTTCTTTTTTTTGTCTTACTTACTTGATCCTATCTCAATTATAGAAATGATCTCAGCGCTCCTCAATCTCTCCCCAGAAACCCTTGTTTGCTCTCTCTTTTCCTCTCGTCAATCTTCAGTATTCCACGCTGGCTCCATTCGCCTTGATTTGGTGTCTTGGCCCATCTGTTGTTTTAGCTGGTGTTTTTTCATTGCTCCGCTTGTGTCTTTGTTGTTTTTTCGCCACTAAATCTGTGATTCTATGGCAGCGACGTTGATTTGTTTTCCTTCTGTGATGTTCACATTTGTGTTTGTGTACACAGCGAGTGGGGGGGACAGGTCAAAGAAGAACGATTATGATATCGCCGAATGTGTTAGGATTGTGCGTGCACTTCTCTGTATGACAAGCCATTAGCGCCAGAGCGGGGTTTGAATATTCACCCAGCAACGGATAACATAATGCCACTGTACAAAACAAATGTTCTCAAGGCCTGGAGACAGTGACTAACTCAGAGAGCATGCGGCACCCTTCATCTCGGCATTCAGTCTGGTAACAAGCACTCGAAAGCATTTTTTGAAATACGTCTTGCATAATGACGCCCGGAGTTTTTCATTAAAAATAAATTACCCATCAGCTTAGGCTGCAGGAGATTTTTTTTCCTGATTAATCTTCCTTACGATTGCCAATGTAGACTCGGTCGCAGATGCTTTTACTAAATTGAAAGCCACACCACATTGTATCTTTGAAAGGCGATTCACGTCAAACACGGTTATTTATTGGGTGTGAGCATCAGACACAGTTCACCCGTGTCTCCATACTAATTGTTTGGCTTGTTTTCCTGCTGACGTCGGCTAATGGTTTGTAGCTAAAAGCACTCTGTGTAACTGTTTCTCTCTGCTGCCCACTAATACACACACACACACACAAACACACATATCCCCCTCCCCTCACCCAATCTCCTCTGCTCTCTCTATCTCCTGCTTTCAGGTGGTGCAGGTGTTGCGGGCGATTGATAGAGATGAGGGGGGGAATGACAGCACTGTGTATTTCAGCATCCCTCCAGAGTCCAGCGCTGCCCTCAACTTCAGCGTCAGGGACAGCGGAGGTAGGCACTCAATCTTTCCCTTTCTCTGTATATCTCTTTCATTCCTTTTGTTGTGTTCCCTTGGCGGACGTTTTTTTTAAGGCTCTTAATCCCATGTTTTCTTTCCGCTTTTCTCTTCCCATCTTCGTCCTCTCTGTTATTTATTTTCCTTCTTCTCTCCCCCTCAGACCCCTCTTCTCTCCACCTTCCCCTTTTTTCTGTCTCTGCCTCTCTCTTCCGCCATCCATCTCCAAACTCCGGTGGCCCCATTGTTTTGCTTTGTTATCCTCCTCTCTTTCAATCGTCCCCCTTGTTTGCCTTCCCCTTATCCTCTGCGTCCATCCTCTCCTCCCCACAACCAGCTATACTTACCATTTACAAGGAAAAGCTTTTGAAGAAATCAGAGCTGCTTCACTTGATTTATTCTTAGTATTTGTTTCTTGTGCATTCTCCGCTGTCTTACAGCCATTTTCCTGCACGAATACACAAGTGCAATAACACACATATTCATAATGCAGAACAGCTCAAATGCGGAAACATACACTTTAAATTCAAGGATGTACTGCTCATTATTTGCTAAAGTTCATAGACATGTTGTTTTTACCCACAAATATATATATTGTGCGATTGCACATAACCCTGGGAGTTTTTCTCGTTAACACACGCAGGTATGTTTTCAGTCAGTGTCTCACACCAAAACACATTTTGTATATTCCTAAAGCCTAATAAACATGCTGAATAATACATACAAAATTTGCCAAGCTGACATTTTGGAATATTTTGAAACCTGCATCATTTGCTGGGCAGTCCATGGCCAATTACATAAGCCAGCAGTCCTCTTCTTTATTCACCTCTCACTGTTTGGCTACATTACTTGATGCATTCCAGGACTATCAATCAGTACAATGTGAATCGTTGTGTAAATGTACTAGTTACAAACATTTTCAAAACTTTTCATTTCGATTTTTGGAGAACTTTGGAGGAGCGTAAGAAACCTCTGGCCGTCCCATTCTGCTAAACGCATTACAATAACACCTTGAGGGAATTTCAGTACACTTTACAAAAATGTCTACCGCACTTATTTGTATTTTCACAAGGTTAGAATAAATCACAAAACATGTTTCCGAAATAACTCAATAATTCATATCCTAATTATTGCATTTTCACACAAATGTCTAATAGAATTAAATAATAAAGGGATGACAATTTGGACTGAAATGGATTTAAACCTCAACTTGACGGCAAGGTGTTAGCTCTATTTGACTTAAATCTGATATCGTATATAGCATAGCATGATTTTTAATCCAGGTAGATGGTAAACAGCAAAACAAATTGTGCAATAAATTAACAACAATAAAAGAGAATGTGACCAATGTGTATTTAAATGAAGCAATAAAAAGCGAATCCTGTACACTAAACGAATACTGCTTATTGTAATAATATAAAAAATATGTGAGCTGTTAACAGATGAATGCTATAAACATATAAAAGTGAAGGCATTTCCCATTGGCCTGCACATTTTTATTTAACTTGGCTAACTTGAGCAAACCTGCTTCATTAAACTGTGAATCTGGAGGATAGACTGGCTGACATGTTTAATCAAAGGCCTCTTTGATGTGTCACCCGACAGTAGAACAGAGACAAAGAAGAACATGTTCTGTTCTCATGTGGACAGCTTGTCTGACAAAAGCACGCTTCATTATTTACTTTGTTGGAAAACGTCACCGATTTGATCTGGGATTCAGATCAGAGAGGATAGTTTTGACGATTCAGTTATGTTAATACGACTTTGCACCGCCTCTCATGCTTTAAATATCTTACAAACTATGTTTTTGTGCCATCTTATTTGTGGGCAGAACTTTTTGTAGCTTTTTATACTTAATTTAAATCTAAAAGAATGTCCCCCGCAGAGACCCTTCACAGCTAATGCCCAACACTAAGAGGAATCAGACCAATAGAGCTCTCTGTCCTTTTAACCCAGAAAACAGACATCCTTTATTAGTCCCACAGCGGGAAAATGTGCAGTGTTACAGCAACGGGTCAGTTCAGATACAGAAGCCGAATTAAAGTTATTAGACTAACATTAAATAAAGAGGCAGCATATGTCAATAAAATGAAATCCAAAATACAAGTTAACATATAAAACTGTTGAAGTAGCAGCCAGTGATAACATTAATACATTGTAGAAAAGGTGTATATTGAACATAACAGTGATTATCTCTTCAACAAAACAACCCAAGGTAGTGAAGCAGCAGCCAGTATAATCAAAACGAGATTGTCAAATTGTTTTTATTGCATATAACAAGGGTTATTGCACAACAGTGTTTTATAGTACTTTTTGGAATGGTGGTCTACTGAACCAAAGACCTGTGTGCTAATAATCTGTTTCATAAGTGAAAACATACCTGAGACTTGAATCAATCACCTATCTATTGGACATTTGCAAACGTGAGCACTGTGATGTTTGGGGATCATTTAACACAGCGTGCCGTTAAAGAGGCCCTATTGTACTTTTTAGGGGTTTCCCCTTTCCTGTAGTGTTACATAGGTTGTTGTGCATCTAAGTGGTCTGTTAAGGCTAAAATCCCCGTGTTCCCTCCAGAGGGAGCTTCTCCCCCCCCTGCCTGAAACGCTTCCATTGGACTCCTATGTTTACTTCCGTAACATACTGACATCACTCACGCATCTATTGGCTAGCGTTCCAACACATTGTACATGATTTGCTAAGGGGCGGGACATCTCTTATTGGTTGATCAATCATAACAGAGCCGGCCCGCTAACCAATCAGAGCAGACTGGTGAAAAGAGGTGCTGCAGCACAGGCAGTATGAGGAAAATAAAGACCTTTTTGAACTTTAAAGGTCACCTGTTATGCAAAATCCAATTTTTAATACATTTTCTACATCAACATGTGTCCCCTATGTGTAAAGGGATTCTGAAAGTTTCAGGAAAAAAGATTCTCTCACTTTTTGTCCTGATCCATTTATATAAAAACCTGTCTGAAAATGAGCTGATCAGATTTTGGCCACTTTATGCTGCGTTCACACCGGACGCGATGCGACTATTCGCTTCGCTCTAATCGCTCCTATCGCATCGCTCTAAACGCTGGAGTTTCACCGCGGCTGCCAGCTGTGTTTACTCGCATCATTCAAACAAGACGCGCTGGCTCGGGAGCTACAACTACAACAAATGAACATATTTTACCGTGATTAAATTGTAATACACGTTTCTAAATGATGCCGAAGTAACAACATACTGATACCGGTTAGTAACAACCATGAATTAATGCTTTGACAAGTCTGCAGACAAGACGGCAGGCAAAACACCTTTTAAAATGCTTGTTTTCTGAATGAAGATCGGGTCAACTAGGCTAAGCTAACGTTGTATATGCTCATTCCACACTCATAACAACGGCCTACAGACATAAATAAAGCAGCGACTGTATTCGCCATGACACAGACAGTCTGTGGTTTGTACTTGTTTAACTTTTGTCCAGTTTCTGAACGGATATGAGGAGCTGTGTGCTAACTGCTAACAGCTAACGGCTGATGTTGTGTGGTTGAACGTCAGTGACGGCAGGCTGAGATCCTCACCGCTGATTGGCTTCCGCGAGAACGCGTCACGTGAATTTGACGCTCGAGTTGAAAAAATTGAACTCTCGCGTTTAACGCGGCACCGTTCAATCGCCTCAATCGCGTGATTCGCGCCGCGTCCACCGCTTCATGCGCACCGTCGGAGCGAATTCGCGTCTGTCCGCGTCTCTGCATTGACTTTACATGTAATCGCGCCGCCCCCAAACATCGCATCGCGTCCGGTGTGAACGCAGCATTATGATTTCATAACGATTTTTTGGCTTGTGTAACCATTAGCCAATCACCAACCAAGGTAACCTCCCCCCCACCTTATCACCTGAATCTCCTCCTAGAGCACCTTTGTGTTATTTTTAACCAAATATCTCTCAGAGGGGTGTGGGGAGTGGCTCCTTATTTTCATCTAAAGTAACAGACAGAGAATCAGCACTTTTGAAACAGAGGGGATTATGGGATGCTGCAATGATCTGTTTGGTATTTCAAGCCAAACACTTCAGAGACATGTTTTGTATATATCTGAGACCTATAATAAAGTAATGAAAAACAGTATAATAGAGGACCTTTAAAGCATGTAAACATGTCATAGAAGCTCAAAATACAGTTTTAAACCTGAAAATGAGCATAATATGTCCCCTAACAACAAATGACTTGTCTTCCTTCTTCAGGCCCCACAGCCAGCCTGGTGCTGCTGTCCCAGCTCCAGCCTCTGTCCCGCTCCGCCTCCTCCACCCTAACGTTCCATGTGCCGCTGGTCCTGAGGGACGGCACGTCGGGCCTCACCAGCAGCGGGACGGTCACCGTGTCCGTCTGTCCCTGCCTGAGAGGAGGGGCGCGGGCCGGGGACAAAGACAAGGACAAACAGAGTGAGGGCGAGGGCGAGGGCGAGGGCGAGTGGGACTGGGAGAGAGAGGCGGTGTGTCTCCCTCAGCAGTCCTCCCTCCCCTCCCCCGGCCTCAGCACCGCCGCCCTGCTGGCTATCCTGGCCTGTGTCGCCACGCTACTGGGTAAATACTTTATTACATATAGTATACTATTAAATAATGGTGTCAATCAGTTAACAATTGAATCTTGATCATCACAAAAATAATCTGTTATAAATAATACTTTATCACAAGTTTAAAATACTAGTATTTACATATTGTTAGGGAGATAAAACAAAAACACTTGTGATGTTGTACTGAAACAAGAAATGACAAACCGGTAAGAGAAGGGTTTTACTTTATTAAACATTTCTGAAATAATTGGCATGAAGTTCATCTATTTTCCGATACTTGGCTTAAGCATGGATACAGCTGCTTTCTCAGAGAGCTGCTGGGACCTCCCTCTGTATAATGTGTGCTACACAGGGCCTATTATGTCTGCTTCTATGATATTGTCAGCACCACCTGTTCCTACAGTAGTTACCTTGTCTGCTTTCTCCAACTCCTGTGCAACAAGAAACTGGCGCATGCTTCAGCAATATGACTTCCACCGTTTTCACGACACCTAAAGGGAACGAGTGCAATTGCCCTTTGTCATGGATTAGATGTTCCGTTCCACCGAGGTAGTGATGGTTCTTACTGATGTCCAGTGGTCTCCATTCAGTTCAATACATGTAGCTTGTGCTTATTTTTCCGTTTTCTTTGCCTTTTCACTGCCATTTAAGTTTTGCAAAAAAAACACACTAGAATTATGAAATTAAGTTGAGGTGTAACTCTATTCATTTCCGTTAAACATAAGAATAACATAAGAGATCATAACACAACAGTGAAAATAGTGTTTTATGTATAATGTGTTGTCCCTGGAAACACCCTGTCTTATATAATCCACATTATATTTGTACAGCATTATTTATGAAGTTGTATCATAACATTTCCTGCTTGAAAAGGAGTTTAATGCTAATCTCCAAATAAAAAGACAAGTAAATAGTGTTTAGGGCTGTTTACCCTCCACTACATCCCTGGATGCCTTAATCTGCATATGAAAATAATGGAAGGCAGCAGCGTAACAAAATATTTAGTCACAGCTGCTCAACAGCAAGGTTTACTTATCCTCGCAATTTCGGTCGAGTTATCTCCTCTGACAAGGTCAGCACTAATCACTGCTAAAATAACAATTCTGAGTGATTATCCGGGCGCTCCACTTTTTTGATAACGGAATAATAAAATGTCTCTGCCACCTTCGCTGAAACTCTCAAATGCTCAATTGGATAATGTCTAGGTGCTGAGAAGCCTTTGGCTCCTGGCCAGCATCATTGTCATTTCTATTCAGTCCATTGGACTCATGCCTAGTTGATGGGGGCATTATCATTCTGGAAGTGAACGGATCTATCAAGGAGGAAAGCTAACATGGCGTGAAGGTGATCATGCAGAGTGGCTTTTGGTTAAGTTTGGAATGATGTCCTCTAAGTGACAAGGGCATAAACCGAGCCAAGAAATGCATTCAAACTTTATAGCTTTAAGTTTGTTAAGAGTGGTGCAGGAATAAGTCTGAAAACCCAGAAATTAGTTAGCATTTTAGCACTTCAGGTTCCCTCGTCTCAAAGTCTAAGGTCTTGTGTTAGTGTTTGTAATTAGATGTTTGAAACAAGATCCACAATTGCTAAATAGCAGTTGCTAACACGTGACTAAATGAGACCACTAAACGTCTACACAGCAGATATTATCCACCTTTAGCTTAGCGGTGGTGACGTGAAGTCATGTGACTGTGATGTAGTTTATAGCCTTACTCTAGTATATGACCTCTGGCGATTGCATTTACTAATCAAAAATCACAAACTGGCATTAACATGTAGAGATTATCACGCTGAACAAACCACCTCAGTATCATAATAACCGTTAGTTCTTTTAGGCACATTTCTGCCCTCGCTGAAACATCCACCCATCCATCTATGCATTTACCCATCCATCCTTCCATCTGATCCAATCCATCCAAAATCATCCACCCAACCATCCATCCATCTTTTTATGCATCCGTCCATCCATCCATCCATCCATCCATCCATCCATTTTATGTTTACTTATGCAATATTCCAAAATCCAATGGAAACATCTCATTGCTTTTTGTTAAGGGAAGCCTTGCGATGCTAACTTTCGGGTCAGCCTACAAACATACGTCTTCACTGCCCTACTCTATAAATCTTTAGTTTTGTGCCAGGATATTTGAGTTTGTCTTGTCTACAAGAGGTTCAGGCTAATCCCATAATAGTATATCTGGGCCCTGCACCAAATGCCAAATGTTCTGACAGAAGAAGAGAAACAGCTCCATCAGGGTCCCATCTGTTTATTAGCATGGGGCTTGGCATAAATAAAGTGAATATCAAGCCACTCTCCATGGCTCCTGTGAGAAGAGAAATAAATGTTAGTCACGGCATGAAGGTGATCCCTCAAATTGTTATGAAGGATTAGAGATTTCCCACTCCTTCCAAGAATCATTAGATCAGTTTTATGGAAATCAAATAAAGCAAACTCCAGCGATATTAAGGCTGTTCTATTCTTACAGCAGCACCGTTACAACCTGCGGTACATCCATTAAAATAGAGGTCTTTTCAAACTGGGAACAGTGACATTGTTCAACCCTGTAACCGTGACCAGACACAGTCAAAGCTTTTATGTGGAATTAAAGACCCATTGATAAAGAATGACTGCTAATTCTGTATTTTTGGGGTGTAATGAGACTAAGGGAACATAAATTATTCCTGGATCATTTTTGGATATGTCCTTAGGGTTCCTTTTTGATCACAAGGTAAAAGTATAATATTTCCCGAAACAAGGACTTATTAAGGTTAACAAAATACTTGTCAAATAGTGCATGACTTTAGCAGAACAAATCCATATTTCTAGGTGGATTTTTATCACAGGTTCTAGGACGACTGTCAAAGAGGTTTGGTTCTTTGCCCACAGCTGTGGGTCGAATGTGGCTCTCTGCTCTGGGAATATGTAATAAGGTTTCATGGGAGAATAAAGCGTCCATTTGCCTGACTGGAGCTCAAAGTCAATTACACAGCTGAGGCATGCGGTGCTGCTGATATGGTTTACCAGCACTCTAACCCAAGGCCTCTTCTGTGTTTGTTTTGTCTGCCTCTTTGTCTGCCTGCATATTTCTCCCTCCCTCCTGTGCATCCTTCCCTTTATTTCCCCTGTGACTTCTGTCCCCTCCCACCTTGTTAATCATTCTCTTTCCAATTTCTCTCCCATGCCTCAATATCCTCTATTCCCCCCGCCGCCCCTCTGCAGCGGTGAGTGGCCTGTCGCTGTCTCTGCGCCGGCAGAAACGTGACTCCCTGTCGCCGCTGGAGGAGGACGACGTACGTGAGAACATCATCACGTATGACGACGAGGGCGGGGGCGAGGCCGACACGGCCGCTTTCGACATCGCCGCACTTCAGAGCGCCCCGCATAGCTCGCGCTCTCGTGGCTATCGCACACTGGACAGCAGGAATGTGTAAGTAGGCATAACAGAGTGTTAAAGGTGTCCTATCATGCAAAATGCACTTTTTGATGTCTTTTATACATAAATATTAGGGCTGTCAGTCGATTAAAATATTTAATCGCGATTAATCGCATGATTGTCCATAGTTAATCGCGATTAATCGCAAATTAATCGCACATTTTTTATCTGTTCTAAATGTACCTTAGAGGGATATTTTTCAAGTTTGTAATACTCTTATCAACATATGAGTGGACAAATATGCTTTATATGTTTGTTTATTATCATTTGAACAATGACAAATATTCTCATGAATATTAAACACAACAACCTCTGAACATTACAAATATTCGCTTCAATTCAACCTGGAGCCTCTCTCATACAATAATACAATACAAAGTGTGTGTGTGTGTGTGTGTGTGTGTGTGTGTGTGTGTGTGTGTGTGTGTGTGTGTGTGTGTGTGTGTGTGTGTGTGTGTGTGTGTGTGTGTGTGTGTGGACACTGTGATGGGTCGTTGGAGCTATGTGCAGCTCAAGGCATATATGCTCGAACGGGAGCTGCCTGGACGCTGCAATCATGTTGCGCGCACTATCCGTGCTGAGTGTGCTGACTTTTCGTACAATGTCCCACTGTCTGGCTACCTGCATAAAGTCAAGTGCTCGGCGCAGTTGTCGGCGAAATGTCGCTCCTCTGTTTTCATTGAAACAGCTCCTTATATCCGTTAGCGCAGCTAGCTAGCACCAGATGCTAACAACAACAACACGTAAGGTGTGCCACACATACACACACCCTCCCGGTCCTCCCGATGGCCAGTCCGGGCCTGCCGGTGAGCGTGGAAGTGTGGTCTGCCACAAGCGGGCGGCAGGAGCGGGGCTGTCAGCATCAGCTTGTAGATGGTATTTTAAACTCGATGCGCTCTGAAACTACGGGGCGGCCGAGGACAAAAAATACACATGCGTTAATCGCGTTAAAATAATTTGTGGCGTTAATTCTTTTTTGCGTTAACGCGTTATTAACGCGTTAACTTGACAGCCCTAATAAATATGTGTCCCCGGTGTGCCAGGGAACTCACAAAGTGTCAGAAAATAAAACCCTCTCTTTTTTCCTCCGTACCCACATCTCTAAAAACGGAGGTACAACGGAGCTGATCCAGATTTGCGTCCGATATGACGTAATATCGGAAATGTGGGCTGGCTTTACACCCACGGCCCTATTAGAAACGTCGCTATCAGAAACAATGCGCAACGTTTTGGAAGTAATATGGTCTTTGTTTACATTAGCAAGCATCGCTAACACTCACGGCCCCTACACACGGCGGCGTGCGTTGACGCTTCAACGCTTCTGCCCATTCACTTTGAATGGGGTGACGTCACGATTCGCCGAACTGCATTCTGGGAGCAAAGCGTAGCTTTTCTCGTGGTGCTCGCTGCAAAAGTAGAGCAATGTTCTACTTTTGAAGCAGAGGCGGAGGCGTCAGCCAATCAAATCCCGCGTATGCAAATCTGCCAGTACAAGCGCTAGCCAATCAAACCGCGTGTATGCTGGGAGAGCCAGACCGCAGTTCATTTCCTCATATGCCAAAAAATTGAGGAGAAAATAATCGGAGCGGTAGGGAATCACCCGGTGCTTTCAGTCCCTGTTCACCTACCGGGATACAAACCGGAGGAGCCAGGCATGGAGGGAGGTGGTAGAGACAGTGGGTGAAACTGGTAGGTTTTCGCCTGTTTGGGGAGTTTATATCCAGTGTACTTCGTTTGAATGGACAGCAGGCATAGACAGTATATTTAGCCACCATGCAATGTTGCATAAAATAGCACCATAGACATGAATAAAAAATCGCTTTTTAGACATTAATGTCTATGGTGAGATTCATACACGGGAGCCTTTTTAAAGCCTTTTTACCCCGCTGCAAACAGAACCCCCCCCCCCCCTTCCCATCACAAACTTTACACAGATCCCCCCTTCCAATTATCAACTCATGTCTTGTTTCCGCAAACTCTTGTGTCCTGCAGCAGCTAAACGTTTTGCAAGCCCCCGTTCGTTTAGTACCTAAAATAATAGACATCGCTTTTTCCAGCTGACAAACCCGACTTTCTGGTCACTTCTTCAATTTTCCAGCCCTTGGGGAGAGACACGGGAGATTCATGTGATTGGTTGTTGGTCGCGTTGCTCGCGTAAACTCCCCAAGCTCAAGACACGCCCACCGCCAAGCGGCAACGCACGCCGCCGTGTGTAGGCTGCGTCAGAGCTAAACTGTACAGGAGAGAGTATGTATAAAAAAGCAGGAAATAAAAAAAGGAACTCAGCTTGTGGTAAACCCGCAAGAGAAAAAGCATTTGAGCTCCATACTGTTTCAGAAATAATCCTTGATGTGGTTTGGAACATGATGGCGTTTCATCATCCCAGCATTTAGACCCCATTTACACGGGAGCGCAAATTGACCGAATTCGTTATCAAAAAAGTCTTCCGTTCACACGCATTCGGCTCATTTAACGTGTCCGTTCACTCGAGACCACTGGAAACGCTGTAGTACATATGCCGAGCCTGTAAGTGGCGCTGTACTTCCGCACGAGACCGCTCGTAAGCGCTGGAGACGCTCTAGTACATATGCCGTAAGTGGCGCTGTACTTCTGCAACAAAATACACCAAAAGCCGCGAAGAAGACCCCCAAGCATGGTTGCCATGGTTGCCCTTCTGTTTATGCCCCGCGGTAGATTTAGCAACATGTAGTTCATGCAATTCTCCATGTCCACTTGTTGCTGATGGTTGTGGTAGAGGAGCTGTAGATTTTGCACTAACATCTGTAGCATGGTCAGTAGTAGTAGCACTAGTGACAGTAGCTACAGCAGTGAGCAGCAGAGGTGGGGAGAGGCGGGGCTATGGCTTCATCGTTATCAGGAAATGATCGTATAGGGCGTACACACTGAGCCGTTTGGCCCCCCCAGAGCGTTCCGTTTGCAGATCTATCCACCTTGGGACCCGTTATCGTTTGCGGGGTCCGTTTCCGCGGTTCCGTTACGGCCTCGTGTGAACGAACGGGCTATACGCGATAGAAAAGTAGCAGATACAACCCGTTTCGTTCTCGTGTAAACACCGCCTTAGCTGAGAATCTCTCTTTTTTAATTTTATTTTTAAAGCTAAGGAACCAAAATCAGCGTTTCTCTAACAGGGCTGAAATAGAGGGGTATGAGGCATGGCTAGAATGCATGATCTGTTTGGTATTTTGAGCAAAACCCATCATAGACATGTTTTTATTTTTTTATATATCTGAGACCCATAATATATGCCTACAAATAGCATGATAGGAAACCTTTAATGTGTGTGTATGGGAGGGTTTGTTTACACATGCACATATATATATATAACTCTTGTTGTTTAATTGCCTCAAACACACATGGCTGGCCTCGTGTTATCTGCTAAAAGGAAGTGGAGGGAGGAAACCAATTTAGCCCTTCAGAGTAAAAGCTTTCATCTCGGTCCAACACTTAATTGAACCTCTTAAGTAACTGATCAAGTCTTTATTCCCTGATCATAATCAGTCACCGATCAAACTGCTGAGACAGAAGGCTATCAAGCTCTTCAGTCCCTGGAGACCACTTTGTTGTGCTCATTTGTTAAAGCCCGTTTATGGTCTCCTACATCAGAGAGTTGTTTGCACCCACTTTGATGTTTCAGTGAAACATTGTTATTGCCTTTGGACTAATAATTAGCTCAGATGAATTCATGCAAGCCATGTATAGAGAGGCCATAAACAAGTACAAAGGCTGCATTTAGTTGATCGAAAATTGCTTCTCGCAATTTATGGAGGTGGACAAAACAACATGAAAAACCCTTTGCATCTATTTGCAATCCAATGCAATATCCATGCAATAAACAATACCTTTGTGAAGTTTTTAATGTATCTATTTTTTACTGTGTGTCGCAGAGCAGAGGTTAGTTAAACTTTATGGGAACTATGAACCTGTACTTTATGGTTCTGTTGCATTGCCTCTGTAAGATACAGAGACTCTTCAACACATTTCCACATACATTTCTATTCCAGTTGTCATGGCTGTAGCAGCGGCTCCATATTGTCTTCTGTGGCTCTGAGACAAGCTCTTGTTAAGTGTGAGAAAGTAACTCTGATCACTTGGATTTGGCTTCGTGACTACAATTCACCAGAACTGCAATACAACAGTTTGTTTTTCAGTTTTTAAAAGTCAAGTTATCTTGGCCTTTGTTGCACAACTTTTGTCTTTTTCTTTGTTGATATTTCTATCTACAGAAGTTGCCCAGATGTATGCTAAACTAAATCTCTGCAAAACCCCTTTAATTATATTTGTCACACCTGAAAATGTTTCCTAATCTGGACACAGGTCAACAGAAATACCCTGTGGATATAATGCAATTTGGTACAACACCACAAACCACACTCGCAAAAACAGGGCCGGTTCTGACCAAGTTGCTGCCCTAGGCGAGATTTTAGCTGGTTTTTATTTATCCTATTAATTAGAAAGGTGTGCCTTGGAAATATTTGTTTAGATAAATTGTGATCAAAACCGGTGCTCCCCTCCCAGAGCTACCAGCGCAGCGCCCCCCCCAGACCTGGCGCCCTTTGCCAAAAAACGGCCCTGAGCAAAAATACTCTCAAAACGAGCATTAGTGCGTCTTGTTAACTTGAGCTAGCAAGTAAGGACATATACTACTTAGGCGGCCACAATATCAAAGTCTTCTACGCAGCAAATACCTTGATATCCTTTCAATTGATATTGTTCACTGTCAGATAGGAAAAGATCCCACAAAACCTGACTGGATTTACCAAAGTTGAATGAAATATATTTGTCCTTGTGTCTTACAGACGTTATGCCCATCATAACCAAGAAAAAGCTCGCACCTATAGCTGGGCTCAGAATCCGGGCGTTGAACACAACTACTCAGGACCCGGAGGACCTCTCTATGGCCGCCTGTGTTACAGCAGCCACACGTTACCCGTTCTCCGCCGTACACCAGGTGGAACATTTGAACCGGCCCTTGCCGAGCTGGGATACCGCTACCCTGGGGGCCAGCCAGACCACTCTCTGGTCATCCAAAACCAGGGGGCTATGGTGGGGGCCATGGAGTCCGGGGCGGTGTACATCACTCCAACAGAACTCAGCACGGGCAGCCGAACGGGGAGTCGAACGGGCAGCCGTGACGGAACTGGACCCCAAAGCGGGGTTAGCACGTCGGATGGAGGGACGCCGAGGACCAATGACAGTCGCGAGAGAGGTGGAGGGACTGGAACTGCGAGCAACTGCACCGAGGGGAGCAGTGAGGACAAAGTGAACGGCAGTCAAGATGTGGACTGGGTAAGAAACAATCTGACCTATTTCACACCAAATGCACAATATGGGAGCATAATTCAGCCAATCTAATTTGACCCCAAATATGCTATGACAAGCGTACAATGGCCTTCTGGCTTTTACAGCCGAACATATAAAGCAGAAGTAATAATGCCTCACATTTATTTTGTAGAGAAAAGTTAATAGGCGATTGACAGATGGGTTTGGAATGATGGGTGGCTGAATGTATCGGTTTTGATGGATGGATGGATGGATGGACAGATGGATGGATGGATGGATGGATGGATGGAAGGACGGACGGACGGATGGACAGATGGACAGATGCATAAAAGGGTGGTTGGGTGAGTAGAAGGATAGATGAATGGATGGATAGATGGATGGGTTTGGATGGATGAAAGGATGGATGGATGGATGGGTGGATGGACAGATGCATAAAAAGATGGATGGGTGGTTGGGTGGGTAGACGGATAGATGGATGGATGGATGGGTTTGGATGGATGGATGAAAGAATGGATGGATGGGTGGATGGACAGATGCATAAAAAGATGGTTGGGTGGGTAGACGGATAGATGGATGGATGGATGGATGAATGCATAAAAAGATGGATGGATGGTTGGGTGGATGATTTTGGATGGATTGGTTCAGATGGATGGATAGATGAATGGGTAAATGCCTAGATGGATGGATGGATGTTTCAGCGAGGGCAAAAATGTGATAGACGTTGCGCCTAAAATGAATTAAAATGAATTAAAATGAATGATTGACTTTATTAATGATAGATTGCTGCATGGGAAAAAGGCATTAAAGATGAATGAATGGCTCAATTATTAAATGGGTGAGTTTGAAAGTAATTAAGCAAGTGTAAAATAATAATTACGTTTGCGACCATACTGATATGTTTTATTATTAAAGTGATTGCAACGCTATCATACTTTTCATCACTACGCCACAGTCCTTGGTGGCAGAATGTCTAATGCTGTATAATGCTGGAGGATGATAATGATTCAAACATGTCAGCACATTTATATCCTGCTGTTCATTATCTTTTTCTTGGTTTTGTTTTATTTATTAGGCCATATAAAGTCTGTCTGGCCCTTCCTTTTTTTAATTTCTCCAATATTTTATCTCTCGATCACTTCCCTCTCCATCTCCCCTTCACAGTGCAGTGTTAGCTCATTCTAGTGTTCAATTAATATCTATGGCTTCTTCCAACTCTGCCTTTCTTCCACTCTCTTCTTCTGTCTCCCATTCATGTTTTGTTGTCATCATGTGTCTCCCCTGCTTCCCTTATGTTTGTCCCCCGTCTTTTCATGAATTTATCCCAAATTCATCCCATTTTATCTCAACCAAACCTAACAGTACCACACTCTACCCCAACCCCGAACTGAAACCACTCGTGCTCGCCTACGTTCCCTCCAGGTGCAGTCGGAGACATTACCCAGGGAGCATCACCTCGTCATGACCAGATCTGGCTCCATGGTGGGCCAGGGTCACGCCGCAGGAGGCTGGGTCTGCGACTCGTCTACCCTCCCCCACTCGGGACGCAGGGCCTCCCGAGGGGGCTTGTCCCCGAAACGCATGGGTTCCGGTCATGCTGAATACGACTCCAGCGGAGGAGGGGGAAATGGAAATGGAAGTGGGCGAACAAACCCAGATGGACAGCATCCTGCGAGTGCGCGGAACTACGCCACTGTCCTCCAGGGGGAGGTGAACGGACACAGGGACTATCCCGGCAGCTTGGGGAGAGGAGGACTAGAAATGGGGAGCAACTTTGTGGTGGCGAGGCAGGACAGGGATGGCGGAGGGATATCATCCGTTTACCCAGAAGCTGCTGGGATGATCGGGGACTGGCGTGATCGGATGGGTTTAGGGGGGTATGTTTTAGGAAGAAGGGATATAACCCCCCAGATTTTCCCCTTCCATGGGCAGCCTCGGGGAGCATACGGAGGGGTGATGGGCTTCGGGTCCAGCTGGGTTCCGGGAATGGATGCTCCCCGAGGAGCTCCGGGGCCGGGGGGTCCCTCCCTAGCACTGAGGGTGGGCGAGTTCCTACGCCTGCGTCTCGCCCAGGTCACTTTTGACCCGTCACAGCCGCCGTACGACTCTGTGCAGGTGTACGGCCTGGAGGGCACAGGGTCCCGGGCCGGGTCCCTCAGCTCCCTGGAGAGCGAAGGAGAGAAGGATGCGGAGAAGGAAGAGTGGGGGGCCGGGCTGGAGGAGTGGGGACCCCAGTTCCATAAATTGGCTCAACTCTTTACAGACAGGGAGAAAGAGAAAGAGGAAACAGATGAAGTCGGTGCCAAAACGGAGAAGGGAAAGAGAGATGAGCCGGAGAAGAAAGAGGAAGGAGAGCAGGCTGGAGAAAAGGGAAAAGAATGAGGAAGCGATAGAAACAAATAAGGGGCAAAGGGGGTAAGAGGGAGGGGATGGGGGGATGATGAAAAGGCAACCAGAGCTAGAATAATGTGAAGAGAAGTTAAAGGAGAGAAAGATGAAGAGGCAAAGTAATCAAAAGAGACAGAGAAAAATGAGCCTAGGAAGGGAGGAGAGTGCGAGGGCAGGGGAGGGAGTGATTGATGTCATTTAAAGCAATAAGTGTTGGAACGCTGATATGGTTGAGCACAGATACCGAGACAATGCAGAGACTGCTTCGGCTCGGGGCAGCAACAATTTGTTAAGCGCTTTGGACAAAGAAAAACAACCCAAACAGCCAAGACTCGATTGAATTCAACTCTCACGTATACGGAATGACCAAACAGCAGGAAGCAAGAAGTGTTGTTGCCGTGCGGGTCCGTGCTCTTTGTGTGTTTGTGTGTGTGGAGAAGTCTGTGAGAGGATATGGGTGTGTTTGCAAATTGTGCAAAATCGCACTTCTATGGGTGCATATTTAACAAAGAAGGAGGAATCACGATAGGGACGATTTCAAGATGGGACGGATGACTGATGATACGCTAGCTGCAACATTAGTTTTCGGGACAATGTGCAAGAGTGAACAAATCCAAAGCGAGTTGATAAACTGGGATAACACACCGAATGAAATATGTATTTGAATATAAAGTCTACGGATGTGTTGAGAGAGAAAGTGAGAAGATTGTACAGAAACTGTTACTTTATATTTCCATCTGCAGAAAAGTGAATTATTCAGCTCAATACTTCATTCCAAATGAAAATGATGAATCATTTAAATCCTGCAAAAGATTCCCCCTCCTCTCAGCCCACAAGGAAGAACAGACATTGTGGAAGACTTAAATCCCCACAACCCCTACCCCTGTCATCCCTGCAGCTTTTTGTAGTCGAGTGTTGGTATGTTTACAAAGATGCACACACAAACACACAAGACACACAATAAATGATGATAAGGCTTTGATTGTACTACAGTAAATTATAAAAGAAAAAAAAACACATCCACTAGAATTCCATCTACTTTACAAAGTAATGAACACCCTATTATTCATCTCTTAAATGTTTTTATGGAAGAAAGTCTCCTATTTGTTATCCCCCACTCTAGTCTCACTCTACACGTCTTTAGGACAGTATGCATGACAACCTAAAGAGGCAATCAAATCCATTCTGAACACTTCCCAAATGAAAAATATTCATATTATAACACTGCAGAGACTCTCGTGAGAATAGGCTTTTTGTTCTTGTTTAAAGGTCAGGATGCAAATGAGCTGGAGTTTTCAGCTGGAATGCACTTTTATACCATGTGATGTTTAATAATAGATTAATCATGTCAAAGATTACATTTGTTTTATAAGATGTCAATTAAACAAAAAAAAGAACTGTATGTAAAAACATGTCAAATGTAAATACCACTGAATATTATTCCTAAAAGAGAGTATATCAAATAAGTGAAAATATCCAAATGGAGTACTGTTGGGACTATCTGTATGTACTGTAGATTAGAATGGATTTACTCAAATGGATTTAACAGCCTCCTGGACTGAAAACAACACCATGTATTCTCCACCTGTGTAATAAGTGAGCAGGGTTGTTTTGTGGTAGCGCTCATCTGAGATGGACAAGCCAGGCATTCAATAATACATGTGGCCTCCGGCAGAGATATTGGTAACAGGAAGCTTCTGCTATCGAGGATCCCAGTGGGAGGAAACACGTCATGTGGTGAGGAGAAATACCCCTAATGGGCATACGACACAAATTCAGTATTTTCCCCAAAATCTGAATTATTATTCAGCCAAAGCGATACAATAAAATTGAATTTCTAATAAGCTCCGTCAGTGTTGCACTGCCTGAGAGACACAGATTTAAAGATTTAAAGATGGTTACTTATCTCATTAAATATAATAAACTGTACCTTTGAGAGTATGATTTTTAATAATGTCTATCAAATGTAATCTTTCCTGCATTTCAGGCAATGCAACTCAAGAACCAGCGTTCTGCTTTGATCAAGTCAAGTCTAATTTTGTAAAATAATGACCTTAGACTCAGATTTGTTTAATTTGTAGGAGTCCTAGGGAATTTCGTCCTCACACCCTAACCAGAATGTGGAAGCTTTTGGTGTGCCATTACCGAAATGTTACCATTTGGTTCACTGTAAAGCCACCCACATGCCACCAGTTTGGTCTGCCCATAATCTTGTCGTCTTCTGTCAACATTTAGTTAATCAATCAGGAAGTCAGGCTTTACTTGGGCTTAATCAAAACCCAAACACAACTCTATACCCTTTAGCTGAGCCACAGACTTGTCCATACAGTGCCACGGTTGCAAATGGAGGTAACCAGCACCATTGTAAAAAATAACGCACAATGACCGTAGAAGAGTGGGGGGTGCAGAACCTTGGGGTGTGCTTGGTTATTAAGTAATAGAGCTTAACTAGATACCTGAAAGCTACCATTACGTTTCATCAGCTTTGTAACAACAATCCAAATGGAAATTCACTTACATCAGTATACTCAGTGCCAACATTAAAGGAAAATTCCGGTTTATTACAACTTGGGTCTTATTTTCATATATTTTTCCAATATTTAGAGCTTAGCAATGGAATCTCAGGCCAGTCAAAGGTATTCTGAAGATAACATGGAGCGATCAAGTTATTACAAAAAATGTCTGTTAACAAAAGATATCAACGTTTCCTGACCTATGTCCGGGTTTAAATCTGATCCACTGAACTTGCCTTAGTTCTGCCTGCACACGGCGTTCCTAGAATAAGATAAGAGATAAGAACCATTGGGACCATTTTTTCCTAGACATTTGAGAGAAATTATAACAATCATTTTGACCCCATTTACACCAGGTCATTTCATGTGTCTTGCTCAAAGACCTGTATATCTGGATTCTAAAATACTGACTTGTCAAGTTGTAATACACCAGAATTATGATGTAACCATTATTTTATTGGGGAGAACTGTCAAAGGATATCATTGATGTCTCTTATGATGATTTCACTTGTACACCTAAAATGACTGCCAAAGAACTTGGGAACAATTTGTTATGAGAATGAGTATAGTTGGTAAGCCCACTAATGTGTTGCTTTGTAGATGCATCATTTTGACAATGTTTCCCTTGCTTTTATGTGGAATGTGCCAACTTTCTGAGTAGCTGTCTCTCACGACACAATTAAGCTATCCTAAGTTTTACAAACGTTTTTGCCAATTCACGGGCCGCCAATAGCAAAATAAATTAGCATTGTTTATCATAACTGGACTTTCTGGTCCTTCCAATCATATGGTGTATTCCAGAGTCTTTGATTTGTTCCAGGTGTTTCATCTCTGGTGATTGGTCTAATTCAAAGCTCTACTCTGGCTGATTGGTCAAAATCAAAGTGATGATTCTCCTGATTTGGCTTATTTCTGAGTTCTGAAGTGCTGCGCTGACTAAACCACTTGACGCAGCTGATTATACCACCTTGTGAGCCCAGCAAATTGGTTCAATCAAAAGCTTGATTAGTTGAATCAGTTGTTTTAAACACAAAAAAAGTCTTTGCAGCACTCCAAAACTATTTTTTTACTCTTTCAACTAGCCTCAACCCACACTGGCTGACGAAATTGGTCTTGTCAGGCCATTTGTCAAGCACAAAAAACCTTCTTGATACTGAGAATACTGATGTCACTAGCAGAAAAGAAAGATGCGAGTAGATATCTTAGCTTTCAGAAGTTGAAATATAGCTTAAGGGTGCAGGTTAAGGACTCCAATAATGATATTAACCCCAAACAAGTAGACCCTATTGGTTCTGTGCCCCCTGGGTGACTTCATTGCTCCTGCACGAGGTTGATACAATTCCACAATTGCGTGCTGAACAAAGTGTATTTATTTCTGTTGTACTTTTTCTTTTTGTAAATTTGAATAAAAAAGGAACTATTTCAAAGAGATGAGTCAGACCCCTTCTGTGCTTTCTCCTGCAGTCTTCTGAGTTTCTAAGTAATCAGACTTCTGCTGCAAGTGTGTGTGTGTGTGTGTGTGTGTGTGTGTGTGTGTGTGTGTGTGTGTGTGTGTGTGTGTGTGTGTGTGTGTGTGTGTGTGTGTGACCCACACTTCTTCAAAGGCCAGTTTGAGGGTTAAGACTTCACGTTAAGGCAAGGCAAGGCAAGGCAAGGCAAGGCAAGGCAAGGCAAGTTTATTTACATAGCACTTTTCTGTACGCGACAATTCAAAGTGCTTTACAAAACAAATTAAAATACTTTTTATGAATAAATACAGTAAAAACACATTATATAATGGCATTTTACAACAGGCATTACAAAGCAAAGATAATAAAATAATAAAAATAAACACCACAGGTATACAATACATGTTTAAAAGGCATACTGTAGTTCGAATATGAGCAGCTCAATTAAAAGCAGCGGCAAAGAGATATGTTTTTAGTCTCGATTTAAAAATGGTAAGCGTTTCTGCGGACATGCATGATTTGGGTAGTTTGTTCCAGAGTGTCGGGGCATAATAGCTAAATGCTGCCTCTCCATGTTTTGTTGTTACTCTCGGAACCGATAGCAGACCCGTCCCAGAAGACCTGAGGCACCTTGATGGCTCGTAATTGTGTAGGAGTTCAACAATATACTTTGGTCCTAAACCATGTAATGATTTAAAAACTAGCAATAGTACTTTCAAATCAATTCTTTGGCCGACTGGAAGCCAATGTAAAGATTTCAGAACCGGACTGATGTGATCCACTCTTTTAGTGTTAGTGAGGACATGTGCAGCAGCGTTCTGAATCAGCTGCAGCTTTCTGATGGATTTTTTTTGTCAGCCCTGTGAATACACTATTGCAGTAGTCGAGTCTACTGAAAATAAAAGCATGGACAAGCTTTTCTAAGTCCTGTTGTGACATTAGTTTTTTAATCCTCGATATATTCTTCAGGTGATAGTATGCAGACCTAAGGCCAGAATAAGGTTTAGGTGAGGGTAAGCTTTCGGGTTGGGGTGAGGGTTAATATTATTATTAGAAGTACAATGTAGTGTGTTTGTGTGTATTCTCGTATTTGTCACACAATGAGGACCAATACAAGTTTTTAACCAATGGAGTGAGGACATTTTTGGAATGTGAGGAGTGTCTTCACTTCTTAAAAGGCCGGTTTGAAGGTCAAGACTTAATGTTAAAGTGTAGGCTAGTATTACGTTTAGGTAAGAGTAATAGCTGGGTTGGGGTTAGACCTTTAGGTGTGATGTTTAATGTGAGGATAAGGGTTTAGGGAATACATTATGTCAAAGAGGGTCCTCATAAAGATACAAGTACAGAGTGTGTGTGTTTGCAAGAGAAAGAGACAGAGAGCGATGGACGGATGTTCTGTGCAATGCATACAAATGTGTGCACAACTTGTGAGCATATCTTGTTGTGGGTAGGTGGGTGAGCCTCCTCAAATTGGCCCCTTGAAATTTCCGAGCCACTCAGAGTGTCTGTATGTGTGTGTCTGATTGCAGAAAGAAAGAACACCTTGTCTGGTCTGATCCAACCTGTCGGGGGGGATGTGAGGTCAGTAATAGAAGGACAGACTGTGAGTTCAGCAGAGCAATCAGGCTTTCAGATGGACGAGGGGAGTATTCTGTTTATTCACCGCCAACAAAAAAGGGAAAAAAGGGCATTTTGAACTCTAGAGCACCCGTGAATAGAGTAGACCTGACAGCTGTGACCAAATAACACAAGGCCACTTTACCAACCTTTGCAGCTCTCCTTTTATTCTGCAGCCTTAGTCCTGGCTGAATGATGGATCGGGGACATGTGGGCCATTGCTGTGTGACTGAATAGCTGGTTAAAAAGATTTATTACAATAATCAAATATGAAGGAGGGGATTATTTCTACATGATGGTTTAGAGAATGATCGTGTTAGCTGGGTCTCCGCTTGATTACAATGATAATACCCGCCTCAAGTCAGGAGAGGGAGAGAAACAGAGGGAGAGGGAAGGGATAGAGGGAACCATATTAGCAGTTAATATGCAAGTCTGTTTCATTACATAAAACCCTATTTGTGATTGGGTTAGAGCTGATTCTGCTGAGCGCCAAGGAAACACGCCTTGCCATCTCTTGTGTGTCTGTGCTTTCCCATAATGATGAGATTCATGAAGCTGGCTTGCCCCCCTACGGAAGCAGCATGCATCTAAAGAGGATATGTAGTCAGTTGGAGGCAAAACAGAGCTTGAGCTGGCCTTAACCCCCCGCCATGAAACTGATACAACATTCTTATCGATTTACGACTCCAATATGTATGTTTATCCCTCTGCCTTAAGCATCAACACTGCATTGCAGCACCCTACAGAGGTGAGTTGCTGCTGTCATGGCATTGTCAATAATTACAGCATGCATAATTGATCATATTATAATGGCGGGGCTGGAGATAAAAATGAACTGTGTTAAGACCATAGACCAGGGAATGACACTGTACTGGAGAGCTATACTCACACTCGATATGCTGCAGGATTGCATCACAGGACATAAGAGTTGGTGTATGTGTGTGTGTGTGTGTGTGAATTCAAGAAGATGGAGATTCCTCATTCTGTTTGAACCTTACTGACACAGAATCCCTCTGGCTATTCACTGCACAGTGTGAGTGCTTGTGTGTGTCTGCGCCTGGGCCTGTGCATCTTTGCATTTTAAGTACATATAAGCTTTAAAAGCAGCTTGAAAACCCCAGAAAGGTGAATTTCCACAGTGATTCAACTTGGTGGATGTTACAACTTCCCGCCCCGAAGTTACAGTTCACTTTTATCACCACCTGTCCGAGTGTATTTAATTTTTTAACTGGCTCCATTGCTATTTTCCGTCTGCTCTTTCTCCCTCCTCTTCTCTGGCGCTTCCCCGGCTCGTGCTTTCCGCTCGGGACGCTCTCAGAGTTCACTGGCTCATTTCAAGTGGAAAATTAAATCTTCATTAACAATCTTAATTAGAGTTCGATCTCCCCATAGAAAGCAGACAGAGAATCCATAGTGTAACAGGGGGAGACCTGCAGCGGGAGTTGGTTTCAGCAAGTTGGGGGTGGTGGGTGGGGGGGGGGGAGGATTAGTAGGGGTAATTAGTAAATGGGATCTTCAGGGTAAATTACACAAGAGGTATTTACACTTCACAGGCAGGGAGGGAATGGATGGCAGAGACGGATAATTAAAGCGGCCTGCTGGTTGATGACGGACACTGCAATGAAAGTGGGACATGTTTGAGCTGCCTCTTGGTGACCCTTCAGTTCTTGTTTCTGCATTGTTGGCAAACTAGAGCTCAGTGCGAGGGAGGGAGGGAGCGGAGGGGAGGAGAGCGGGGTTAAACGGGCCATTATTAGTCAGAAAATCTTCTTTGCAATCGCTTCTTGTCTTGCTTTTTGGTGACATGGTGTTACTTGGGGTGACATAATCCCTTATCATGCTCCCATAAGCATGGAGCATTTGCCTAATACCAGACAGTAATCATTCAAGGGCACTACTAAGCATGCAGCCCAATGGTCCCTCTCCTATTCACATTTACATACTACTATAATGGCCTGCAGGTACTTGGCAACAAATAAATAAAACAGTTATGTTCCAGCACATTTAAAATATACGCACTGCTTGTTAAAAATGAACGCCAGAAACTCACTGCTGTTCAAGGAGTTTAGCACACAATGTTTCAGATGGACAATACATTTATATTGGGGTGGTTTACCATAAGGAAATCTTTCCTCTGATGACGAATATGTATTGCTGCTAGCAGGAAAACCATTACTAGAAAATGGTTAAAGATTCACATTATTTATGATATTTCCACGATGGAAAGGATTACCTTTGCTGTAAGAATGTAACAAGCAAGGAATATTTTCTTTGAGTTGGATAAATGGACTCTAAATAACCCCAATGAACAATCACAATCCACCACACCTTGAACTTTATGTATATATGTCATGATGTATGTCTTTGTCCTGTGCTGTGTGTTGTACTTTTTATTGTCTGTTTATTGTATGTTGAATTGTATGGAACAAGCTGTAATAATCTGCACTGAACACAAATTCCACCAGCCTGGCTGTGTGGTCATTAAAGATTCTAATCTAATCTAATAATGTAGGACCGGGTGGAGGGATTATATCTCCACGCTGGCCTGGGAGCGCCTTGGAATCCCCCAGTCAGAGCTGGTTGATGTGGCCTGGGAAAGGGAAGTTTAAGGCCCTCTGCTGGAAGTGCTTCCTCCGCGACCACACTCAGGATAAGCGGTCGACAATGGATGGATTGATGGACGGATATTACACCAATCTGACCATCATCTGTATTAAGGGGATTGTTGTGGTGTTTCCTTTTTTCTTTACCCTCTTTAGAGAGTGATTTGACCATCGTTAATGTTCACCTCAACAACCTTGTTCTGTCATATTTAGTCCTTGTTCCTAATTTATTTTTGCATGATGTTTTAAAGGCCAGTAATCCTTACACGCCTCTGAAATATCCACACAATCTGTGCTGCATTGTTGTGGGCTATAATTGTAAATTACAGACGGCTAAAGGATCATATTAATCTCTATTACCTATCATATGGAGCTGAAAGTCATAATAAAAAGAGAATTTCACAAAGAAAAGAGACACTTCTTTTCCATTCCTTTAGTGACCCTATAGTGTAGTTAGCTATCCTGTCGGGGACCATCAGTGTCCCTCTGTAGTCTTCTTTGTAGAAGCATTTAGTAGTGTAACAGGGTCCAATTCCAGGACCTAATCCTACGACAGGAAGCCCGCCAAAAAAAGCCTAAGTGAGACTCCACTACATTTCCCCCAGACAGAATAGATTATTCGCTCAGCTGTCCAGCGGCTGCCATATTTGCCGAGAACATACAGATACACGTGGAAAAGGAATATTTCTAAATGCTGAGGGCAGAAGATAGTGTCTGGACCTTCGTTTTATTTATCTGCTCTGCGCGGTTTCCTGGGAG